AAGCGTCTGTCTAAATCTAAATTCAAATCTAAATTTTTGCTGAACAGAAACTCCCGAAAGGGATATATGTGCACAGGGACGCGGTCAGCAGGTGTAGAAGTGGCTTTTAAATATGAGGTCACTAATGCCAATTAATGTCAGTTTGGGTCCCGCATAAGCGCAACCTCGTTCCCAGGTTCTATCTCTTCTACCTCTATCTCCCTTTGCGACTGGTCATGTGACCACCCAGAATCTAGGTGGTAAAAATAATCTGTTGGGCGGGAGTGTGGCAGAGTGTTCTGATTGTTGCTGTGACAAACTTTGTGGGTTTCAAATCCACAAGCAGTAGCTAAAAACTACTCGCTTCATCGGGGCTCGAAGTCTAATTTTGCCGATGAAGACTGCTGCATTATTTCTACCGTCTCTAAAATATAGAGGACTTTCGTTACCCTTTCGTTCACAAAGAAATTCGGCAGCCAAATGGAGCACAAACTTTTTCACATGTAAAACGTCAAAATATCGACAAAAATGCATCCCGTGGCTGAACATTTCAACTCCGCCTCCCACTCTCTAGATGACATCATGGTCTGTGGCTTGAAACAGTACTCTGGCAGTAACATAAGCCGCAAGCAGCATGAAATGAAATTAATCTTCAAGGTGGGCACGCTTCGACCGAACGAACTGAACATTAACTTTAATTTCTTGTGACTGTGGGTCTAGCGCGTATTACACATACGCGCGCTAAAACAATGGTTTTCATCAGGGCGAAAAAAGGCTACGTATAAGCGCCCTGGTTTTCATATTTCGCAGCACACCTTTGTTTACTTTGAACTTCCTGCGCGCGCTCTCCGTGCGTGCGTACGCGTAGAGTTTTTTGTATGGCGTGGCTCAATCATTCCACCTACTGAGGAAGGGCTAAGCCCGAAACGTTTAGATTACCAGCAAATATTTGACAATCTTAAGAGCCTTTTGAGCCTGATATCCAATTCTCTCTCCTCTGCCTCCCTTGTTGGCGGGAGAAAGACCCTGGATGTCGCTGATCACGTTACCGCCTGTGACACAAACTTTTCCACCGGGGTAGAGTCAACAGATACATTTTTGTCGATCTTAACTTAAGGTGGCCGAACACAGTTTTCAAGAGCCTCTGCCTAATTCACCATTACTTTAAAGCTATTTATGCTTTGGCGCCCGTTTTTTGCAAGAGTCAAGGTTAACCACAGAAGGGTTTATTCTCACATTTTGGCTAAGGTGAGTGCTGTTGCCATGGCAACGGAGCTGGTTAAAAACAAGGCTTAAAAAATGGTTTTTGTTTAT